CGGAATGGGGGATGAATATCGCGGCGACAGTAACTCTCGCGGTCACAAGCGGCGGAAGGATCACGATTCTTCACACAGGCACAGGAAGCGTCACAGATCGTCAGAGCCCGCCAAACACGGATCGGTTCCACAAGAACGCCCGTCGAATTATTTGTCGCCCGACCAAGCATTTCGAGAATCGCTGTTCGACGCACTCGGAGACGACGAAGGCGCGGCGTTCTGGGAGGGCGTCTATGGACAGCCCATCCACAACTATGCGGATACCTATCAGGATGAAGAGACTGGGGAGTTGGAACGCATGACTGACGAGGAATACGCGCAATTCGTCCGGCGAAAAATGTGGGAAAGGAGTTGGGAGGGGGTAGAAGCGGCAAAGGAGGAGAAGAGGCGAGAAAGAGAACGGGAGAAACAAAGAATACATGACGAGGAGAATAGAACAGAGAGCGAGAGGCAGTCCCGGCATGATGATCACATCTTCAACACGCAGATCGAGGCCAGTCTCCGCCGAGGCGAGAGACGGAGGGAGCGCAAACGGTGGCACAGTCTATGGGAGGACTACTTGCGCCGGTGGGCAGACCTTCAGGATCTTGCTCAATATCGGCCTAGGGGCGAGGGCAAAAACATTGGCGAGCAGCTCTTCCTCCGCAACAAAATTGCGTGGCCTGTCGAGTCAGGAAGGCGTAAAGACGTGAATCGGGAAGAAATTGAACGGTTCATCAGAAAGGGCACTGCCGCCCATGAGGTCTCGCAGGGGACTGATCCATTCTCGAGCGCTATCAAGACGGAGCGGGTTCGCTGGCACCCTGACAAGATTCAGCAACGTTATGGATTCATGGACATCGACGACGAGACCGGGAAAGCGGTCACAGCAGTCTTTCAGGTGCTCGACGCCATATGGAACGAAATTCGAGATCAGACAGGGTGAAGAAAAGTTTTCAAGAAGCTGGAGTGAAACGCTAGTTCAAGCTTCTGTCCTCCCATCTATCTATCATCTATCATACCGGACTTGCGCCTCTATTTGCGTTGCAGAGTCTAATTGTTTATAGGTTGATCACCGCCTGTCCACTCTCGAATGATATCTTCGGGGACATCTCTCAACAAGACATGGACATGTTCCATTCCCGGCACGGATTGCAGCTCGGTCCAATTCTTGAACCATATGACCTTTTCCTGGTCACCGGGCAGTCCTTTGACTCGGTCCACAAAGGTAGACTGAATGAAATCCTCGACCTGCTGTCTGGATTTCGGGGTCATGTCGCCTCTAGTTGGCTCTGAGTCTAACCGGGTCTTGAGCCACACAATAATGTGCCTAATACCAGGCGCCAATCCATACGGCCAGTCATTAAGCAGAATCTTATAATCTGCCTGGTCTGCAAATGGGATAGGGTTGTTGACAGCAAACCTTGGACCCGTTTCCGGCGTCGACGAAGGTAACGGAGTCCATTTCAGTCGTTCCCTCATGACAAAGTTAGGGACCGTGCCATATGTAGCCTTTGTCTGGCTTGACCACTTGATGTAGCGTTTCAAGTCGGATGGCCACCTTTTCAGGACGCTGAGGTTGTGCTCAGCTGTCGAAATCAGTCAGAAACATTCCGGGGATGTCGATCACATAGAACCATGAGCGGTGGAGCACACACCAATGATCTGTTTCAACTCTTCCCATGTATGTGGATGGAATTGGTCATCGGTCATGGCCAGGACAGACCGATCCACAGCCGTCAGAGGAAACGGGGACGGGGTATTGTCGGGCTCTGAAGCCATGGCACTTGCTTGCGTTTGGGCTTGTTCGTCTGCAAGGGGCAAAGGTTTGCTGGGCGGGCGATGGGGGGTTCCGTTGAGGGTAGTCTCTCACCGGGATCAGTTGACCAAAGATGGAGTGTATCGGGTGTTTGTGCGCCCAGATGGAGCTACGAAGAGACCCGAAGACGACGTTCGCTATTCTTCCGCCGCTCGGCGAAGTGGACTGCCGCAATTCTGGAAAGTGTAAAGTGCGAAGCCGAAGGGGGTAAATAGCCCAGTCTGACAGAAGTGTCTTTTTTTCGTGGCTACATCCGATGTATATTAAATGAGAGGAGCATTGGGAGAAGGGCGTGAGTGCCGAGAAGGCATAGAGCAACATGTGCGGGAACCGTGGCGTGCGTGGCCTTCCCGGTTTCTTGTCAGACATGCGGAATTAATATTATCCATTCAACTCTGTCTACCATCGGAAACACCCCGCACTTTGTCACCACATGTAGGCAAAAGGAACCAGGGCGCGGCAGCAAGTTAGCGAAGCCCCGGGACAACTTCGCAGGCGTGCGCAGGCCACATTGTCTGCTACGCCAAACAGCCCCACGTCCTTCGCTATTCACCGTAGCGGCCTCCCGAAAAACAATCCCAAGTCCACAAGTCCAGAACTTCCCCAATTCCGATAGTTATATTTTTGACCCCGACCACAAAATAATCTCCTGACACGGTTCAAAAATTCCCTTTGTTCGCGGTGTTTTTTCCCCTGTTTCTGCTCAAGGGCCATAGCAAGAATTGGGATTGTCGCGTATCTTGAAGCCATGGGGTAGGTGCTTCGCAGTATCTTCTGTCGAATTCTTCCGACGCTCACCTCACTTCCCAGAAACGCAGCCTTTTCCCAGGCCAACATCAATGGGGTGTATATTCCCTCGGTGCTGCTGATCGTCGGGGTCGCCATCGTCAAGAGAGACTATGTCCCTTATGCAGTCGCCATCGCTGCCATCATTGGAGGCTACAAGATCTTCACGGGCTTGACTCGTAAGTCATACTGCGCTTACCACCCCTCCCAGACAAGATTCCTGACTGACATTTCTGAACCACAGCATCATCAAGAAAGGTCCTGAAGCCCGACGTGTTCCAAGAATTCCCGTTGACCAAAATCACCAAAACCTCGCATAATGTGGCCATCTACCGATTTGACCTTCCCCAACCCACGGACATCCTCGGTCTCCCAATTGGCCAGCACATGTCGTTGGCGGCAACACCCAAGGGGGCGGATAAAGAGGTGGTGCGGTCATACACCCCCATTTCTTCCGACGAAGACAAAGGGTTCTTTGAGCTCATGATCAAGGCGTATCCTCAGGGCAACATCAGTGCTCATATGACGACCTTGAAGGTTGGGGATACCATGAAGGTCCGCGGTCCCAAAGGAGCCATGGTCTACACCCCGAACATGTGCAGACGTATTGGCATGATTGCTGGTGGAACTGGAATCACACCCATGCTGCAAATCATCCGCGCCATCAACCGCGGTCGGCCTCGCAACGGAGGGAATGACACCACTAAGGTTGATCTGATTTTTGCCAATGTCAACCCCGAAGATATCCTGTTGAAAGAACAGCTTGATGCCTTGGACAAGGAAGACCCTGATTTCACTGTCTACTATGTCTTGAACAACCCCCCCGAGAAATGGAATGGCGGTGTAGGCTTTGTGACGGCGGACATGATCAAGGCCAAACTCCCGGCTCCAGGACCTGACATGAAGATCTTGATTTGTGGTCCTCCGCCCATGGTGAGCGCACTGAAGAAAGCCACGGAAAGCCTCGGGTATCAAAAGGCTCGACCCGTCAGTAAACTGGAAGACCAGGTGTTTTGCTTCTAGAGAAGATCAGTGTGGTGGAGTCTTTAGACGGGTTATGGGTCGATTTATGGATCTTGCAAGACTGCGCGTCCACGGTGTCCTCGCATCTTGGAGTTTGTCTGCCAACAAAACATGGAGGCATAGGTCGAAGCTGGCTATGTGTTGAGTTGTCACTATCCAGCGCTGTCGGCATAGGAGCTTGTGGTTAGATTACCTGGTCAAACCCTCGAGTGCAAAACTACATGAAGATCAATCTAGAGTGCAGCGGCAGTGACTCCGATGTTCAATGTAACTTGTAGTGTGTTGTGGCTTCGGTGGCTGTGCAGATAGTCGTCGACGCCCATTGATCCTCCAACATTCCATCATTCAGCCTATGACGTCAATCTTGTATTTCCCCGTCACCACCATTTGATGCCTTGTTGTCACCGACTACAAAACAAGGAAATCTTGTGCCTTTGTACCGACTACACCTGCGCCAACCGACGGTGGTCGCCCGTCCTGGCGCTCGAGCTCTCAGATTCGATCGACGCCTCAGGAGCTCTACTCGAGCAAGCCTAGCTATGTAGCTAAGGGAGCCACGTAACGACGAACGTGGCGCAAGCTCTGGGCGATCCAGGGAGCCAACCGGACCCTGAATCTAATCAGTCAATCAATCAGCCCGTCAATCGAGCAAGCAAGCTGTGCTTCCATCGTCCAAATTCATCGTGGGACATGCTTTTTAGCTGGGTACCCAACGCCACCATATGTTGCCCCGGAATCCGTCGATTGCTGGGGGGCACAGGATCCGCTAAATTCGTTCAGAGGGTAGTGTTCGCGATCGGCCTAGGTATGTAAGGTATGTGATGATAAGGTGGGATGGATGTGCCTCCTTAATCCGTGATGGGATCGATCATATATTGTCCATGTCTTGATTCTCTTTCCCCTTCCGCCTCTTGAATCTGCTGAATACATATACACCCTGAACACGTCCGCCATTAGCCAGTCATCTATCTAGCAGTGGTCGTCAACCCTGTGCCTTTATCCCAGTTTGAGCATTTTTGTCTTTGTCATTGCTGTTGAGTTATATGCACAGACGATACCCCTTTGTTGGAGCCAGATTTCGGCATAACCACACCTGACTAAGGCACAACGCACACACACCATCTATACACGAAGGTGGAATCATTGCCGTTGGAAATCACGACGAAAGCAGCAAGCCAGGCTCCACGGAGGAATATAAATAGACAGGCATATCAGCAGAGATATCTTGCTCGGTGGTTCGCAGGAGTTTGTGCTACGGAAAAGAACGTCACTCCCCTTTTCCATCTCAGCCTCGTCCACCACACACTCACGTACGGCATACACATATAGAGAGGTTCTCTATTTTGAAAGGGACGAGATGAAACCGTCAAATCCATCTCAAACAGCGACGACGATGTTAACTCTTCTCCTATCTCTTGTCCCTCTCTCACGTGGAGCAGCGACCAACTCGACCTCCCCCAAACGGGGCCTCTGCTACATCGCGACCGACAATTCCGCCTCGGACTCGAACATCTTCACCAGACCCAACTCACCCTTGACGTGGTACTACAACTACAGTCCTTGGCCTGGACCCTCAGGGTCGCTGACCCAATGGGACACGGAATTCGTGCCCATGGTGCACTCAGCCGAGGACGCCGCGGCGTCGGTCGACACCATCAAATCCATCCTGAACGGCAGCGCGGGGATCCCCATTGCGGGAGCCGGAAGGAACAACGGCGGCGGCGGCGGTGGTGGGAATAGAATCTCACACGTCCTGACCTTCAACGAACCGGACGGCGACACCTCATCAGGCGGGAGTGACTCGTCCCCCGAGCGCGCCGCCAAAGTATACATCGACACGGTCCTGCCTCTGCGCGCCGCGCCGTACAACCTCCAGATCTCGCTGCCAGCGACGACAGGGTCGGGGAGCGGCCTCGACTGGCTCCGGTCATTCAACACGTCGTGCTTCAAGCTCCGGCCCGCAGGTGGTTGCCCATTCGACTTCGTCGCCGCGCACTGGTACGGCGACTTTGCGGGCATGGCCTCGTGGCTGGGCACCCTGCACGACCTGTACCCGGCCAAACCCATCTGGATGACCGAGTTCGCCATCCCCTCGGCGGACGAGACCGCCACAACGTCCTTCTTCAACGAGTCCCTCCCGTACCTGGACGGGCTGGCCTACGTGGCGAGATACGCCTGGTTCGGCGCGTTCCGCAGCAGCGGCGACGACGCCAACGAGTGGACCGGTGAGGAGGTGAGCCTCTTCGACGGCGACGGCAGGTTGACCCTCCTCGGCGCCGAGTACCTGGGTGGCGAGAAGGACGGCTTCCGCGAGGGCGAGAGTGTAAGTTCTAGTAGCGGTAGCAGTAACAGTGCCGCTGCTGTTACACCCCTTGTGTGGTTTTCCGCCGCCAACTCGCCGTGGGGTATTCTATGTCTGTTGTTGACCTGGTCAGTGGCCACGACTTTCAGTGGGCTGCTCTGAGCATGTACAAAGAGGATGTATATGATGTTGACGTAACGAAGATGTATGTGATATGAAGTATAACGATATATCTGATAAATTTAGCAAGCGCTATCGCTGTGCGTCGCAGAATCTTTCCCACCCCAACTCTCCCATTATCCTGTCCGTTTTGTCTCCTTCCTCGATTTCTTTGTAGGACTTGTACCTACATACCTACCTACCTACCTGCCTCGATAAATACCTTCCGGTCTATCGATCTATTCACGACAAACGACGGAGAAGGGAAAAGGGCAAGGGTGTATTCTTCCTAGAAACGCCCCTTTCCACTACGGTTTGACGTTTGTGGAGTTACAAGTTAACTTGCTGTGGTTTGATTGACGATGCTCATCCTGACTCAAATGGGACTGGGTCTAAATAACGCAAAGAGCTTGGACTCACACCCACGATGGACAAAAATAGGTTGATCAGTATATGCAAGTTGTAGTATTAATATAGTATGTCTATCCAATATCATCATGGGCAGTTCATAGCCAATATCGATTCGTGTCGTGTCCAAAAATTGACCAACGCTATGCTTTTTAGACCAGAAAAGGTTCCATACCACCAACAATGTACCAACAAGACGCCATACTCAAAAGACCAACTATAGCACCCTCGCCTTTTATTTGTGACGATATTGCTCAAAGGCCAGATCAGGCAGCCTCGGTTCTCTCGAGAAAGGAGGAGGACTTCCACCATGTTCACTCCTCCCTTGACTCAAGCTGCGGTAGCTGGTCGCCCCCATGCCGGCAGCGCCCTTGACCAACGTCTCCTCGCTCTCGTCCTCTCGAGGTCCAAACCGTGAGTAAGCCTGGGCGCGCATCGGTTCGTAGCTTTGCCCAAACTCGGACATGTTGCGAGCGTGTGGCGGAGGCGACCCTGAGTAAGGCTTTGGCTGGAGAAGAAAGGCATCACCCTCGAGATCTTGAGAGAGGTTTTTCTGGGCTGCCTTGCGGCGCTTTCGGTGGGGGTTTTCTTTGCAGCAGGTGATAATGCTGTTGATGATGATGAGAAATGCAAGGATGGCAGTCAAAGCGGATTGCACCACAATCAAGACAACGCCGGTGATGGTCTTTGTAGTTTGCGCAATTCCCAGCTCTTGAACAAAGATCAAGATACAGACGACCGACGCCACACGGACAATCTGAATGATAATGTTGATCCAATTGCCCGACTTGCGCTGGTACGGCCGACTCCACAAAAGCAGAATGAGCATCAGGGATTCAATGATCAATTGCCCGACGGTTTGGACCAAACCATGGCCATCGCCCGCAGCCAGGACACACCCTTTGGCAAACATGTAGACAATGGAAGGGATGAAGAGCCACCAGTATCCTGTCTTATAGTTTTCGTAGAAGAGCTTGTACTTCTTCCAGGTCTCCTTGTTTTCGAACAGTGCGCTGGCATCGCCCTCGATTTTCTTCAGTTTGCGGACAACACTCCAGATCTTGAAGGTGTAGAATCCCAAGATGGCCGTAAAGGTGCCCAGAGTGACGCCCGCGAGAACCTTGGCCGCCCACGAGTCTCCGTGAGTGAATTGGTAGATGCAATACAGGGTCCAGATGCCGTACAACAGGAAGATCAAGTTGGTGATGGTTTGAGCCATGATGCGCCAATATTCTTTGCGGAAAGTGCTTAGAGACTTGGGGAATCTGCCAAAAAGAGACCACGCCTCGAGAATAACCTTGAAAAGTAGAATACCAACCACAATGGCCGCAACTACGATTGCGAAGATCAGGAGGACGGTCATGAACGTATTGGCCTGGGGGATTGTGAGCTGCTCGACGTAGCCCTGAATACCTTGGACCAGGTGTGATTCCTTGGAATTACTGTCGTCCGAATCCTCGCTGGTGCTATTGCCGAGAGAAGTCGTGATCTGGCGGACCATCAATGCGACAGATCGCTTTGCGATACCGCTCGTGGTCGAGGTTGTGCTACCATCAGGGAACACGAGAGTGGCGTTTCTGAGGAAATCGTAGCTTTCGTTGGTCAAATTGCCTCCCGTATGTGCTCGGAAAGAGTCAATGGACCTCTGGAGCCCACCCCACGAGACGAGACCAGTGCTGAAGGCGAAATTCTTCGCGAAGCTGCGATACACTCCTGGATAGTCGACCGAGTGCATCCCGTTCATGGCCATTCCTTGAAACCACCACATGACCTCGGAGAAGCCAGGGCTGGAAGAGGACGAGCCAGGGTGAGCTCCAGTGGCAGCTGCGCCGACTAGTGACACAGCCAATGCGCCAGCGGCGATGGCGGCTGCGACGTACGATACCGCCGGCACATCTGTGGTCTTGCCGTTAGAGACTCCAGATTGAATGCAGGCCAGCTCTTGTCCGTCTTTGGCCTTCAGGACCATCTGAGCGGTTCCATCGAGATCGGGGAGAGAGTAGGCGATGGAAGGGATGAGCGAGGTGTACTCTGACGGAATGACTTGTGACCCGTTGGCCGCAAATGATGTTGCCGGCACTGCAGCGTCGTTAGAATCGTGCCGAATATACAAAAAAACAGCCACTCGACTTACCAGGACACAACTGATCAACTCTGGTGGAGTTGTCACAGGGGTCGAAAGAATTGTTATACACTTTGACGCCATATGCAGTCACAATCAGTTCGGCCGTGACGAACTGTTCTTTTGTACTGGAGCCCGAGACGTCGAAGTCGATTGTGTTCGTTGATCGGTCAAAGGAGATGTCGACATTGTTGACCTTGATGGTTGATGTGCCATTGTTACAATTGGAGAATCCATTTGTTTTCAAGATATCTGTTCCCAGCACAGATGGAAGGAGAGCTAGAGAGGCCAATGCCAATGCTGATGGCCTCCACATGATGATGTTGGGTTATGTGTGTATCCGAGTGGTTGTTCCCTTGCCGTGGAACGGCACTGCACAACCTCTTTCTTTATATCTCTTCCCAAAGAACGTGTACCCTACGGTCTTGACAGGGGGCTGAGGATGGAAGGTATTGACCTCAATGGGCGCCAATTGTCGGGGGAGGTGAACAAGATGTATGCGTTCGATAGGTGGAGGTGGTAGAATCGAAAGCGAACGATAGACAGAAAAAAAAAAGGGTCAAAAGCGAACGTGATAGAAGGAAGTGAGTGTTTGATGCAGGAACGATTGAACAAGTTTCATACAAGAGGGAAAAGGAACCAAATGAAATGGATTTTCAGCTGCGTAGCCCTCGACATATGCGATGCGAGGAAAGATATGGCTCATGATCGGTCTAGTTGGCCAGGATCAAGGGTTCTGGGGCCGCATGGAGACGCCCGTTTCAAGCTGTGGGTTCTGGGCACTCGGAGGACGACGACGACAGGCACCAGGAAAAGGTGAAATGGTTGAATCGATAGCCGGCGAGTGAGCCAGGGTGGTTTGGGTCAGTGGCGTTATTGGGAAAAACTTTGATGGTGTTTGAGTGGTTCGTGATCGATGGAGTTAGAGTTCGCCAATGGGTCATTGGGTCTTGGACTCTTCGTAGTGGCCAGTGGCCAGGGTTCCAGGGGCTGTCCTGGGAAGGGAGGGGGTGGCGCCGCCGCTAGAATCCCACCCAGTAAAGAAAGCTGGGGGGAGAAAGGTGTTGAGCATCAAAGCCATCACTGCTAAGCTCGTTAGTTAAAAGTTCGTTGACTGTGTTTGTGGTGGCTTGGAGGGTTGTGGGTATCCCCGAATAGGCCAACACCAGAGTTAGGGACGTTACGTCGCCTGTGTCTTAGGCAAGGTCGTACCTAAGAGTTTCTCCTCCAGGTGACCCAGTAGCTGACCTCACCTATACCTAGTCCTTTTTGCTGACTTGAAGGTATTCCGTGTTTCAAGGACTCCTAACATGCACCTGCGACACTCCTTGGCCTTCAGCCCTCACAATCATCATCCTGTAAGACTCCTGCGACACAATATACTCACCTTCCAGCTTCTTGTGATGGAAACCAACTGCCGGAAACGGCCATAATTCAACACACCAGTGGAGCTGGGCAGCGGACAACTTCGATGAGGCGCAGCGCTGCAGTTGCCATGTCCTTGCAACCGAAAACTCTTCCTGGGGACTGCATCCCAGTGCCCATTCGTCCACCCCATACTTGTACCTATTCCCAGACGGCTCTAGCCATGACTGCGCCTCACCAAAATCCCTACAACCTCCCCTTAAACCATGGGGTTTTTTGTCCTTTGCACGCGGTACCTGCGTCGACCCATTTGACTCTGTCAGCATCTTATTCCGAATATAAGGAACCAACAACATTTGAACAGGCTTTGCCCCATTTCATACAGGTGGTGTGCATATAAGCAAGGAGCATTCCATTGTCACGGACCACGATCAAATATTGCGTGAGAGCACTGGTCTTCAAAAAACATGGGGACGGCCACACGGATCTCTTCTCCCCGTACTTTACAGATTGACTCTTGGTAGCTAGAAGCTTGTGATGACTAGTGACGATCCTATTAATAGACAGAACCACTCCCTGGGTCACGCACAGCCTCGTCTAGCTCCTCCACCGACCAATGAAGACCTCTCGAGTACCGAGTCTGAGTATGTACCTCGTAGAGTAGGTTTCATCAAGAAGGAACCTAATGTGGCGGGAGGGTCACATATTTGACTGATTCCGCGTTATTGACTTGTTGTTGTTCTTTACTGTCTCTCGAATCGTGCCTGCGGACGTCCCCATCGCAAAATTCATCCAGTTTTCTTTGTTCCCTCTGCTATCTCATACACACGAGCCAGCTTCCTCCGACCTGCCAGCAAGAATCCATAGGCACATAAACGCATCAGTTCGGTCCTTGCATAATGAGAGTACGTAATGTCCACCAGCACTGGATTAACCATTCACCTGGTCAACGTTTTGGTCACATTTTCACTGTTGTATCGAGGCAAAATATCTTCTCCAGCTGGGCTCTTTCATCGTTAGGACGGGGGTTCCGATTGTAGGACAGTACTGGTAGTCCCGTCGACAGCCGACCTCCCCCACAAACAAACTCGAGACGCCGAGACAATCTTCATCTCCCATATGGATGATACCGCCCCCTTCCTCCCCTAAAATTTGCTCCTGGCTTGCCGGCATTCTTGGGACCAGTGGGAGCATTGGCTGGAGCTGCGCTCGGCTGCGATAGGCCACCGGGACCCTTGGGTGGTTTTGGTGTATGCTGGCGAACGGGCCCCGCTGAACCTCGACCACCAGTGTTGCCTTCAGGTTGTGGTACGTCGTCGTACATGCCTTCCCATGACTGTGGACCGCCTCCATGATTGTGGCCTTGGTTCTGGAAGCCACCACCGCCGCGTGGGCCTTGCGGGAAACCTCCCGGGCGACGGACCTGCTGCTGTTGCTCATATTTCTGCTGTTCAAATGCCAACTGCTCTTGGGCTGAAAAGCTCCCACGCGGGCCGCCCATATTGCCGGGACCCATTGGGGGTCGGTTTGATCCCATGTTCATCCCACCCTGTTGCATCTGCATCATCTGCTGCATCATTTGGGGGGACATGCCTTGTATGTTGCCCATGCCACCGGCATTCTGGGCGTTCGGGCTATTTGCTCCTTGCATCTTCTGCATTTGTTGCTGCATCTGCATTTGCGCCATCATCTGCGGATTCATACCCATATTTCCCATACCGCCCATGTTGCCCATCATGTTAGCCGCCATCTGCTGTTGCATCATTGCAAAGTATTGCTGCATTCTTTGCCAATACTGTGCCATCATCTGTGGAGTCATTCCGGTGGTGCCGCCCATCATATTGGGAGCTTGGGCTTGCGAGTTTTGCTGGGTCTGGGCGTTGTCATTGTTGTAGCGGTCATCGCGTCCGAACTTGCCTCTTCCTCTACCGCGACCGTAATCATCATCCTCGCCCATTTTGCCTCGGGGCTGTGCACGCTTGACCTCGATGGGCTTTCCGAGGATCTCGAGGGGGTGGTATTGCAGGCATTTCTCTACCGCGGCATCACTGTCAAAGGTTACGAAACCGAAGCCTCGAGGTCGGCCGGTGTCCTTGTCCATCATGAGCGTAGCATCGATAACCCGCCCAAATTGAGCGAAAAAGCTTTCAAAGTCTTCTTCCGTTGCATCTTGACTGACTCCTCCCACAAATATTTTGGCCGTCTTTTCCTGCTCGTCTCGTGGGATCGCTCGCTTGGGGTCGATCTGGGCACACCACAGTAAGCCTTCCTTCTTCCGACGGGCCGAATAGCTTCGAGAAAGGGAACCAAGTCTTTCCTGTCTCTCCCGGGATGTATCGAAATGGGTAGGTCTTACAATTTTGCCATCCAGGAAATGTTCCTTGACCATCACGGTGTTGACTGTCTTGGGGTCCTTGAAGGTCAAAAATCCAAAGCCTCGTGAGCGGCCCGTTGCGCTGTCTCGCATGACGGTGCATTCTTGGACTTCGCCGAACTGTGAGAAGTAGTCATGGAGTGATTCTATCAACGGGGGTCAGTACGGTGCTGGATCAGCATATGTGGCGACGCATGAGGTTTTCTGGTGTATGTAGAGGCGCGGGAGTGTTTTCTCTTACGATCTGTCGTTTCCCAATTAAGTCCTCCTATGAACATTTTTCTGTACACATTGCTATGTTAGCTATGAAAAGCCGATCTGAGAATGACGGTGACAGCGTAGGACAGGGCAGAAAACAACAGAGTTGAACGTTAGATAGGGACCATGGAGTGTCGTTCGCAGGAAGACTCTCCTAGTCCTCGAAACAACGGACTCATCTCAACTCAGCTGCGGTCAACCCCTTGCGCAGTCGTCCAGGGTTCGTGGGCCAAATCCGCAAGGTCGTGAGTAGGTGGTGTTCGCCCGCATGAGAGATGTTCTAGAAGTACAGAGCATGGTGTGTGGGTTCTGTTTGCTGAGTGGGCAATCGTGGTGGCGGATTGTTGCAGCGAGCCAGATGAATGTGGCCTCCATCCCCAACTTGACATACAGACCGGGGTGGACGAGGCCAAGACTATGCGGCTGTATTTTGCCCGCCTTGCAGCATGCATACACGGTCCAATATCTTCCTGAGGACATCTCCTCGACGTCCATCTTCAGTCTGTAGCGCTTGAGCGACTCGTAACCCTGCAGCCTCGCAGCCTCGCAGCCTTGCGAAAGAGGGCAACTTTGGCGGTGGACGTAGCCATTCTCATACACGATGTAACAGCATGTCGATCCTTCGGGATGGCTTGTTCTCTCTTTCCCTCAACATGCGCAAAGAGTCGACTTCTTCTAGCGGACAGAGGCAAAGGTTTTGTTGGCTCTTTGAGATTCAGCAGATACTCCATAAGCATCTATCTCCTGCCTGGTCTTGGGCTTTGTTACTCTGCTCTGCCTGGAAAAGTATCTTGGTGTACGGTAGTAGTTTCTTGCCCACTATTCTGGCTTCGCTGAATGAACACTTTTTTCGGCAATGAGATCGACTTGGCTAGTTTGATGTAACATGTAGCTAGCCACTGCTGCGCGGTTCAACTGGAGAGGCTTTCCAATTCCCTAACCAGTCCGATCGACCTCGAATTGCAGCTGTCCAAGCGCAACTTGAAAGCCATCTGAGGGTTGAACAGATGCCAGCAGCTCATCCGCGCCTGTCCTAATATCGCGAGGGCCTGAAGCCAGTTGTAACAGACTGCTTGACCAATCGCAGACCTGAAAATGTTGTGCGTAATATAGATGTACGAGCCATCCATTTCCACCATGATTGACCCCATTTGTTGTCTTTGACCCATGAAAGGCACCGCACCTTCGAATCACGCGGTTGCAGGTTTTCGTATACGATGCTCAACTCCGCGGAACTGTTGCTGGGAGCTGCCCGTGCCATGGCCAACCCCGCCGTGAATCCAGATCCCTCTTTTCCACGTTCTCTCGCAGCTGATCCAACTCTTTTCCTTATTCCTCACAGAGATTTTCACAACGAGGGCAGCATGGGAAAGATGAAGCACAGGGGCAGTGTAGGACGAGGGAAAATCGACAAGCACATATACTCACCCGTCTTCTTTCATATTGACGTTGAAGACCTCGGGTTGCGATGGCTTCTCGTGGAAATCTTGGGCTTGCTTGGGACTATGAGCGCCGTTGGTGGGTTCATCCTGGCCCGGGGGTTCCGTGTCGAAGGACGTAGGGTCGTAGGCAATCTCTGGTTCCTCGCCATAGCCTGGTGCCTCACTCGTTTTCATCACTGTATCGATTGCGGCAGTCTGTGCGGCAGGTGGAGCAGCAGGTTTGCTGGAACCATGGTTCTCGTCCGCATCGTAGCTGGAAATGTCATGTCAGGGTTCGTGCCAGTCTCAATGAACACGAGGTAGGTCCAGACGAGGGATTAAATCAACGGAGAGAGGGAAACATACAGATCTGCAAAGAGATCTTCCTCGACATCGTCGGGTTCTGCCATCTTTATCGTGCACCAAGTAAGGAAATGGTGATCAGAGGTGTTACGCTTCTGCTCACAAGATCTCGCTGAGGACGCGCCTCACAATCTAGTGACGTAAACAACAGCAGCAGCAGGTGGTAGAAGGGCAAAACGAAGCGGTGACCTTGACTGAGATGAGGCAAGTGTGAAAATGTTAGACGACGAGATGAGGTGAAAACAACATTGTAACAGAGGCTGCGGCGCTGAACTCTACCAGAGAAGTACCTCGTAAGCCCCCCGAATTTGTTTGGCGCCGCAATGGGTTCAAGGCGCAATTATTATTGGCCTTGGCGGCGTTGACTGGCACCCAGACTGGAGTGGCAGAGTGGACCAAACCCGGTGCTTGTGACATCCCGCCCTGCACCACCGCCCGCACGACCCTCAGCGGGCGCCATGTAAACATGTTGATTTCATCGACTGAACATCTCAACAACAACGTTTAAGGATGTTCTCGCCGCCTCATGCAAAGGTACTCAGGAGGAAATCTCAATAACCTTTCTCTAGGAGTGGCCTGATCCGCAGACGGAGCCATCATGGCTCACAAAAAGGCCCAGCAGCAGGTAACGTCCCCCGATTTGAGATGTCATCGAGTCTCTACTGACATATTGCAGGAGATGGTCCAGGTTGGTTCGTGTCTCCCCGACTCCCGATGCTCTCTCAATCTCTCTGAGTTAAAAGAGCGCTAGCTAACGCCGAGGTGCGCCTTAGATAGATCAGAGTATGGATACCGTGAGCACCAAGCTGTCAATCGGAATCTTGCTAACACACTGAAGACGACCATCTTCGCCGTTTTGGCGAGGACGACCGTCGACACCTCGTCAGACCTCGGGGCAGGCGACGAAGGTGTTTGGCGCTTCATACTCCCATGCCGATATGCTAAAAATCGAGTCATTGTAAGTCATCTATGAACCAAGAAAAGCACGTAACTGATCGAGTGGCCAGAAACCTGGGACCTCATTCGAGGCCAAGGACGCCCCCAGCTACATCAGCCCGATTGTCACAGACTCCTCCGTCGGATAGGCCGCACTTTCAGTCTCCGGAACGAAAACCCTACTCAGGCTATACCTCGTCCGCATTGGGTGAGAGCTGGGACTTGGCTGGTGGGGGAGACGCGGAAGGAGACGACGACGATCTGGTCTATGAGGACGACGAAGATGAATTTGGTCTGCCCAGCATTGCAAGCATGCGTCGAAAGAGGAGTATAAAAAACAAGACGGTGAAGGCAGAGCAAATTGCGTATCCAAGTCTGTCGCAGACTACTTCTGCTCCAGCTTTGGCACCTTCTCCGTTCCCACGTTCCGCCAGGTCCAACAGTTTCGATATCGCTGAAGAGCGGAATCCGCTGTCGTACCCAAGCACCAAAAAGGGCGAAGGCAAAATCCTGAGGCCCCAATACAAAGACATTCTGAGGGATCCAGCAAACTCGTTGCATCTCATTAGTTTCCCTTCTCTGCCTCCGAATGCGACGCCGAAAGAAGCAGAGGCCCATAGCACAAGGGTGTCACGGATCAACAAGTTCAAGCGAATATTGCAGGCGAGCTCTGTTTCTTTGCCAGACTTGCGAGCCGCAGCCTGGTCAGGAGTACCTGAAGAGGTACGCGCCATTACATGGCAGCTTCTCCTTGGCCATCTACCAACTAACAGCGAACGACGTGTCACAACCCTGGAGCGGAAGCGGAAAGAATATCTTGATGCTGTGCAACAAGCTTTCAATTCCGGGACGATGGCTGGCAGAAGTGCATCGAGCACAGGACTACCTGGACTTGCTTCACAGCCACCAGTCAGCACCGGTCGCGGAAGAGGATTGGATGAGGCGATTTGGCATCAGGTTAGCATCGATGTGCCTCGGACAAACCCTCATATACCGTTGTATGGGTTCGAAGCCACGCAACGATCTCTCGAACGCATTCTCTACGTTTGGGCAATTCGACACCCAGCAAGTGGATATGTGCAAGGGATCAACGATTTAGCCACGCCCTTTTGGCAAGTCTTCCTAGGTACCTATATCACGGACTTGGATGTCGAAAGTGGGATGGATCCCGGCCAGTTACCGAGGCCGGTTCTGGACGCCGTCGAGGCAGACACATTTTGGTGTCTGACAAAGCTGTTGGACGGCATACAGGACAACTACATCGTCGCGCAGCCAGGCATTCATCGTCAAGTTGCTGCTCTGCGAGATTTGACAACCAGAATCGACGTAGGCTTGGCTAAGCATTTTGAAAACGAGCACGTGGAATACATGCAATTCAGTTTCAGGTGGATGAACTGCCTGTTGATGCGCGAATTGAGCATTAAGAGCGTCATCCGCATGTGGGACACATACATGGTAAGACTGAGTCGTCTGGTGTGACCAATTTCCTACTGATGCGAAGACTCCAGGCCGAAGAGAATGGCTTTTCCCAGTTTCACCTCTACGTCTGCGCAGCATTCCTCGTCAAGTGGTCTGACAAATTGATGAAGATGAACTTCCAAGAGATCTTGATGTTCCTACAGGCATTGCCGACTCGCGAATGGACAGAAAAAGATATTGAACTTCTACTGAGCGAGGCTTTTATTTGGCAGAGTCTATTCCGTGGATCAAGAGCGCATTTGCGGACTCAAAATAGCACCGTCCCGATGGGTTCACTCGGTCCTTCTACCTGACCTTCTACCTTGCGACCGAATGTCCACTTCTCTAACCTCGACGATCCAGCTTCTCGTTGATGTATTTTCGCCAAGCTGTTTGCCCCAAACTGTCCGGCATCCTCAATAATTACTTGGAACCCCGAGATACCGTCGTTATAGAAGTGGAGTCGGCACTCAGATGGACATACCTTTGTGGATGAACTCTCCACGAGTTGGTCGATAGACTATCTGTATATCGACGACTCCACCATTTCACGCCCGCTAAATCCACGCCGATTGGCATTGGACAGAGGCACAAGGAATGCAAGACCCAAGATTGATGATCGTTAAGATCACAGTTAGCGCTCATGCCTTTCCCGTCTAGATAGACTGGGTGTCACTGCCGACTCTTTCGACTAATGAATCGGATTATTCTCGTCGCTCGAGGGCATGCCTGAACCATTTTTGCCTCTTTCATCTCGGCCAGAACATCACAGGAATCGTCGAGTCAAAGATGTTATGACAACGGGAATGGAAGTACACAGCTTTTCAGACCTGCTGCTTGGA